CTCCTCCATACATTATTCATTAGGGCAAGAGCTTCTTCTTCTATCATTTCTCCAGAATTTTTAAATAATTGATATCCCAGTCCATCCCTCCCTGGTGAGGTATCTTTCCCCTGATTTATAGCTTTTTTTAAACTCTTCCATTGAGAAAAACACATTAATACCATCAGAATTGTCACAATTTATTTGTAATTTAGTCATATTATTTCTTGTTATTTGACATCTCCTTCTACTGTTTACTTCGCTTACATTGTTGGAACTATGAACGTTTTGAAATTGCTTGACCAACAAATTTGCTTTTTCTTTATTATTTACAGCTTCATCACAGTGGAGGACTGGGATTGCTGTCTGCCTAAAAACTCCTGTCATTCTCTGTACTAGATTCCAAATCTTTTTTAAAGGTGTATCCTAATTTACTACAGAAATTCCTTCAACTTTGTTTCTTTGCTTCCTTAACTACACGTCTTGCCTTAGGTCTAAGCCTCTTATGTTCAAAAGCATAGTTCTACAATAAGTGTTGCCTTAAGTTTTTATATGCCCTATTCCTAGCTCGCACTGCAGCATTACATTCTTGAGTCTACCATGGTACCATTGATCCTCATACTGGCACTTTTTTCTTTGGAATATTCTTAACTGCAGCTGACCACATTACTTTGCTTAGAGAACTATTCCACTCATCTATTCCTTTTTCACTATCTATTCTTGTTAATCCTATATTTACTTGATCCTCAAACTTTATCCAATTAGGTCTTTTATAATTAAGCCTCAGGGGCCAATTAACTGGCTCCTCGATTAGACACCTACCAGATTTACAAATTATTGGCACATGATCACTTCCCACTGTATAAAGATCCATTGTTTTCCACCTACTGATTGATGCTAAATCTGCTGACTCAATTGTAATATCTATGACAGATGACATTGATCGACTTGTACTAAACCAAGTAGGACAACCATCATTTAACACAACTAGATTATTCTTGTCCATAAAATCTTCTATAATTTGACCATTTCTGTCTCTCTTCTTACTTCCCCACAATTCATTATGAGCATTATAATCCCCCTGGTGAACAACCTGTAGTGTTTGAGAGCGATGTGCTCATGTGTGTTTCTCTGTCTGCAGAATCAGGACCTGATGTGGCCCATTCTGCGTCCAGACCTGCCAAACTGCTGCGTTTATATAATGTGTTAATAATTCTTTGTTCCTCTCTCTGTGCTGGAGTTCTTTAAGAACTTGGTGGCTTGATCCAGATTATTATTAAATTGGTTGAATTTTAATAAGAGTGTGTTTATTCATATAGTGTATCAAGCTTATTACTTCAATATATTTACTGCAAATCTGATATTAATATTTTACTCATGATAGGGACGTTAGGCTACTGTATGAATGAGCACTTCAGAGATAATGCAGGCTCTAGCCTGCTAGAGCCAAAAGAATTTAGTATTGTGGTCTTTGGAAATTCATGGATTTCCTGTACCCGATTTGTGATCCAAATTAAAAACGCACCCCTTTTGGAACAGAAATCCACCTTATCATTTGAAAAAACCCTTATGACAGTTCTCTGCCAAGAAGCTAATAGTGACACTGTGTCAATTTGACAATTCCCTGGTTTGGGAGAAACACAGATATAAAATCATAACCACAACCCATTACAAAAATGTGGAAAAAAACAATCTTGAGTCAGGATGAAAACAGGAATGCTTAAATGTGCATTTGCTGAATCAATCACAGAAAATCAACATGGGCTGTTAGACCCCATGACATTAGCTTTACCACATAAGGTAATTTATTTATTCCCTTAGATCTTGAAAAACTTACCACCCACCTTGTCTCTACAGGCAGAATGGAGGAGTTGCATGGTATCAGAAGAACATTTCACAACTGGCATTTTCATTTCTTTTTTTCCCCCTAAAAAATAAATGTGTGTAAAATATCTGTGTCTACATGTAAATAGGTTTGATGGCTGTTTCAAAATGTGACAGGAATGAAAACTATATGTTCTAGGAGCATTATGGAGCACTTTAGATTTGATCAATGAGCCTTCTGCTCCTGAAATCAGACTAGGGTCTTTACAGTGGGTACGGAAAGTGTTCAGACCCCTTTAAATTTTTCACTCTTTGTTTCATTGCAGCCATTTTCCAAAAATCAAAAAAGTTCATTTTATTTCTCAGTAATGTACACTCAGCACCCCATCTTGACAGAAAAAAACAGAAATGTAGAAATTTTTGCAAATTTATTAAAAAAGAAAAACTGAAATATCACATGGTCATAAGTATTCAGACCCTTTGCCGTGACACTCATATTTAAGTCAGGTGCTGTCTATTTCTTCTGATCATCCTTGAGATGGTTCTACACCTTCATTTGAGTCCAGCTGTGTTTGATTATACTGATTGGACTTGATTAGGAAAGCCACACACCTGTCTATATAAGACCTTACAGCTCACAGTGCATGTCAGAGCAAATGAGAATCATGAGGTCAAAGGAACTGCCTGAAGAGCTCAGAGACAGAATTGTGGCAAGGCACAGATCCGGCCAAGGTTACAAAAAAATTTCTGCTGCACTTAAGGTTCCTAAGAGCACAGTGGCCTCCATAATCCTCAAATGGAAGACGTTTGGGACGACCAGAACCCTTCCTAGAGCTGGCCGTCCGGCCAAACTGAGCTATCGGGGGAGAAGAGCCTTGGTGAGAGAGGTAAAGAACGTTTACCATCCAACCTGACAGAACTGGAGAGGATCTGCAAGGAGGAATGGCAGAGGATACCCAAATCCAGATGTGAAAAACTTGTTGCATCTTTCCCAACACGACTCATGGCTGTATTAGATCAAAAGGGTGCTTCTACTAAATACTGAGCAAAGGGTCTGAATACTTATGACCATCTGATATTTCAGTTTTTCTTTTTTAATAAATTTGCAAAAATTTCTACATTTCTGTTTTTTTCTGTCAAGATGGGGTGCTGAGTGTACATTACTGAGAAATAAAATGAACTTTTTTGATTTTTGGAAAATGGCTGCAATGAAACAAAGAGTGAAAAATTTAAAGGGGTCTGAATACTTTCCGTACCCACTGTATGTAAATACTGGTTTATCCCTCTCATCAGTGGTGTACTTGTGAATATGCTGCTCCCTGCTCTGACCTTTCTCCACTACATTCTATGTCTTTTGCTGACTGGAAACCCTGGAGACTGGACAGTGAGGCTCCAGGTGATGTGTGACCAGAATTCCTCTGGACTTTGTTCTTCTTGTTGGCTGAACTCACGGGTGGGACACAGTCGTGATATGTGCCCATAACCTCCACATCTTTATTCTGTGTCGATTTGCGTTGTTGTGTCTGGGGTGTGTTCTCCAGCTTTTCTTCCCTCTGTTGCCGCGTTCTCCATTATCATTTGACTGTTCCAGTGGTGTGACCCATTTCTCACCATCAGTCTTTGTATTGGGTAGTTCTTCTCCAAACAGTTCTGAGTCCCAGTAGGCGTGTTCCTGCCCTCCGTCGGTCTGGGCTGGGATTTGGAGGTGTCACTGTCAGCAGTAGGTGTGCGTTTCTTCCTTCACCGTTTCTCCTGAGACAGGAAGAGGCTGCTGATTGAAATAAAAACTTCTTGGGAAAGTTAATTTGAGTCTTTTCCCATTTTGTCCTTTCCCAGCAACTGGTGTGTGAAATGGGCAAACAGTCCTCAGGTCATGACACAATGCATGTTCTCTCCCCCGTCTGTCAGTTCTTTCCTGGAGTTTCTCAGTCAAAAGGGCAGTACTTGTGTCTCTAATGACAAAAGGATTAGTGGCTTGGAGACAACGTATGGAGGTGGCAACATCTGATCTGGCCTTTTGTGTGTCTCTTTCTTATCATTTAAAACTGCCTCTCTTATCTGTTGTTTTACCATTTACCCTGCCACTGATTTTGCTTATCTCAAATGTGCTTATTTTTCCCATTTCTCAAAAGCTTGCCAATCAATCTTTTTCTTACCTACTGTCTTTGCTTTCTCTGTCAACATAATTCTACGTCTCCCTAAACAATCTGTACTCAGTGTGCCTAGGATAAGAAAAATGCCTTCAGTTACATCATGCCAAAAAGGAACATCAACAACCACACTGTTCCCCCATTGAGTTTTTTCCCCGATTTGTTCCCCATGTTTTTCTACTGACTCAGACTCACTGAACAAATTTGCTTTTACTTGCAATGGGTTTTATCATTCACACAATCACTCTGATCTTCCCATATGGTCTGATCTTGTCAAACACACACTAACTCTGGATAAACTCTCTCAGCTGTATGGCACTTGCATGATGGTGCACTCGTTTTCGTTTACAATTGTGTGCTAGACACTGAAATGAGTTTATCACAGAGTTTTCTATATTTTCATCTCATGCACACCCAGATATTTTCCCTCCTTAGTGGAACATAATGTTCGAAACAAACACTTATCACATCATATAAACGCTTTAAAACTCTAAATGGGAAACATCTGGAATGTTTTTCTATGATGTTATTTATAGTATAACGAAACTACGGCAATTATGTTCATGCAAACACACAGCTATGGGCCAGAGTTTGACCCAGGCCGCTGCAGCAAGAATGGAATTCTTTTTTTTTCTCTGTTATTTAAATTTATTTTTTCCCAAAATCACTCAGGATTTTGGAAAATAGGCCGTTCCTTAAATCACTCAAAATGCGACCTTTAAATGGTGTTACCTGCTAGTCTATATAAACTCCTAGGTAGGTTATCACTAGAGATGCTACCATAATGGGATTATGCACATATCACTCCTGGCCTGTTGTTTTTTCTCTGTTTCCCCCGAATAGACCCTTTATCACCACCCCCGATGATTAACTATATTTATAGTTCTATTAACCCCAACTGGGCGAACGTTTTCCGGAATAGGTGTCTGACTCGACAGAACACCTGGCTACCACGAAGGTTTTACGCCGAATTCTGATGAACATCTCCAACACATGCCCAATGTCAGGGAAAATAATTCCTTCCCAAAGAATACGGAGTCAAATAGATGTGTTGAATCATTTCTTTATGTTACGTGGCCATGGAGAGAACTCCATGGCCTGAACTCAGCATTTCTTCTTCTTAAATACAGAACAAGTACAGCAATAGTAAACTGCCAAGACAAGGGAAAACAAATGGCAGAGTTTTAGCACACACTCAAAAGCTTCTTCCTGGGCTGATAAGAATGCAATTGTATGTGGCATCAAAGTTGTGTTCCTACTTCTTGATTAGTCTATGTTAAAACTCCCACCTACATGTCAGCAGATGTTCATTGTAAGTCAGACAACCCTTTGATTAGAAATAAAAACCCTGTGACCAATGCTAATTTCTCACAAGTTAATTACAGTGAAATCCTAAAAATCAGCAACTTATAATGTATTTCTCACAGTGTGAAACAGTGAGAAACCTGTTACTGGACTTGGTTCAACAGTTCTCTTAACTAGACCAGTGTATGTCAATAGAGCCTTGTATACATCACCCTTTTTACTGTACAGTGTTCTCGGATCCCCTTACATGGGCTTGTAGTCAGTCAGCTGACTCTGAGTGTGAATCCACCTCCCCAGATCCCTCCATCTCCAATCAGCAGGCTTAGCCAACGCCACATGCGGGCAAAATTCTCCTTGGAACAACTGAGATTGAGCAGAAGAGAGAGACACAGAAACAGCAGCAGCCCGGCCTGAGTACAGTGTTGATTTACGAATATTCTCAGTTGTGGTACCACAGCAGACACACTAGATGGCACCAAAGCCCACTCATAAACAAAGTTCAATGCCTCTGGACTGTATTTCACCATTTGAAGTGGAAATTTCAGTCTGGTCACTTTCAACCCCTCGGGATGTGAGGTTAAAACAATACCAAAATGAATCATGAGATCACGTCCCATTAGGTTAATGGGACAATTCTCTGACAACAAAAATTAGTGTTTGGTTATGGCGTCATCCAGCGAACATGACAGTGGTGTAGTGTATGGTTCTGAAATAGGGATTCCTCCTGGCCCTACAGTTTTGCAAAACCGCCCACTTCTCCTTGGTGGAGCTGGTATGGCCCCGGAGTCGACTAAAAACACCACAGAGTGTCCTGCTATGTTTAAAACTAACTCGGGCAGCTTCCTGAATCCCTCATTTCCATCTATGTACATTTCAAAAGTCAAACGGTCAAGTTTATCAGTGTCTTTCTTAGTTTCAATGTATGTTATTGCCATCATTATTTTGTCATAGTCTGTTATAGTTTGAGACTCACCCATTGATGCGTGTGTGGCAGGCCGGTCCGTCCCCAGTGTCCACTCCGCCTCCACTCCCTCATTTCAGTCCGATTTCACATAACCCCTCTTTTTTTCTTTTTTGCATTCATCTTGCCAATGTCCAGTTTCCCCACAGTTCCAACAAAAAATCCGGGTCGCTGACACTTTGCTGGTCATTCTTGCAACCTCTCCCCCGGCCCCCTCTTTCCCGCAACGGGAGGACTCTTTCTTTTGTCTTGTGGTGTCGATGGAGTTAAACATAGACAACTGTGCGTCCACTAGCTTCTTCTGCTGCTCTTTCCCTCTGCTCTCTTCTCGCTCCCTAAGCTCTCCCTCCGCGTGGCCAGCGTAGTCTAATATCATTGACTGTTTTCCAAAAGACGCATCTTCATCTTACTGCTGCAGCGATTTCTGGCCTCAACCGGGTCATGAAATGCTGTATGAGCTGCAGCCCCCATCTGGCCCCCTGTCATTCCAATGTGAAGATCGAAGGCCACTGTCAGACGGGCTAGGTAAGCCTGACAGGTCTCCGTCAGCTGCTGCAATTGATGTAGACTAAAGCTCCCCATTGCTGGGAACCCAAATTCAACCCACTTATCAAATTGTCCCATTGAGTTTGCATGTCCTCCATTTCAGGAGTTACTTAGTGAAAATCCTATAGTGACGGTGCCTGCCCCCCGACCATCGAAATTATTTAAAAAGGTAAACAGAAGAGGAGCTGTGCATACAAACCTCATAAAAATTAAAACCACAAGAGCAATAGTGCAAACGAATAGGAGAGTTAAATGTGGACTCTTAAACATCAGATCTCTCTCTTCTAAAGCTGTACTAGTAAATGAACTAAAATCAGATTATGATATTGATTTATTTTGTCTTACTGAAACCTGGCTGGGTGATGGAGAATATGTTAGCCTAAATGAATCCACCCCTCCCAGTCATATTAATATTCACATTCCTCGAGGCACAGGCCGAGGAGGTGGAGTTGCAGCTATCTTTGACTCTAACCTACTAATCAGCTCTAAACCTAAACTAAACTATAGCTCATTTGAAAGCCTTGTTCTTAGTCTTTCACACCCTAGTTGGAAATCACTGCAACCAATTCTCTTCGTTATAGTGTACCGAGCACCTGGCCCATATTCTGAATTTTTATCTGAATTTGCAGAGTTTTTGTCAACTTTTGTCCTTAAAACGGACAAAGTTATTATTGTAGGGGATTTTAATATTCATGTGGACGTTGAGAATGACAGCTTCAGTACTGCGTTTATCTCTCTCTTAGATTCCATTGGCTTCTCTCAGAGTGTTCATGAACCGACTCACTGTTTTAACCACACCCTCGACCTTGTTTTGGTGTATGGTATTGAAATTGAACATTTAATAGTGTTCCCACAGAATCCCTCTTTGTCCGACCACTGTTTGATAACTTTTGAGTTTGTATTGCTGAACTACACGCCATTGGGCAAAAATTTCTATACAAGATGTCTGTCTGATAGTGCTGTAGCTAAATTTAAGGATGCGATTCCATCAGCTCTAAATTCATTATCAAGTCATAAAGTAACAGAGGACTCCTATGCTAGTTTCAGTCCCTCCCAAATCAATCATCTTGTTGATAGTGCTGCAGGCTCGCTGCGAATGACACTCGACTCTGTAGCCCCTCTAAAAAAGAAAATACTAAAACAAAGACAGTTAGCTCCATGGTATAATACTGAAACTCGCAAATTAAAGCAAAAATCGCGGAAACTTGAGAGGAATTGGCGTTCCACCAAAGTGGAAAATTCTCGTTTAATTTGGCAAGATAGTCTTAAAACTTATAGGAAGGCCCTCCGTAATGCCAGAGCAGCGTACTACTCGTCATTAATAGAGGAAAATAGGAACAACCTCAGGTTTCTTTTCAGCACTGTAGCCAGGCTGACAGAGAGTCACAGCTCTATTGAGCCAAGTATTCCCATAGCTCTCAGTAGTTACGACTTCATGAGCTTCTTTAATGATAAAATTCTAGCTATTGGAGACAAAATTCACCAAGACCTTCCCTCAACTGGCATCAGCTTATCTCTTAACTCAGGAACCTTAGAAACAGCTGTAGAACCAGATATATGTTTTGACTGCTTTGCTTCCCTCAATCTTTACCAACTAACTTCAATAATTTCTTCATCTAAACCATCAACCTGCCTCTTAGACCCCATCCCGACTAGGTTGCTTAAAGATGTTTTACCCTTAGTCAGCACTTCTATACTAGATATGATCAATATATCTCTATCAACAGGCTATGTACCACAGTACTTTAAAGTAGCTGTAATTAAACCTCTTCTGAAAAAGCCCAAACTTGATCCGGATGTTTTAGCCAACTATAGACCTATATCTAACCTTCCATTTCTCTCTAAGGTTCTGGAGAAAGCAGTTGCTAAACAGCTGTGTGACTTTCTACAGAGCAATAGATTATTTGAGGATTTTCATTCAGGATTTAGAGCTCATCATAGCACAGAGACAGCACTGGTGAAAATTACTAACGACCTCCTTATTGCATCAGACAAAGGACTTGTCTCTGTACTGGTTTTATTAGATCTTAGTGCTGCATTTGATACCATTGACCATCAGATCCTATTGCAGAGACTGGAACATTTCATTGGCATTAAAGGAACCGCTCTAAGCTGGTTTAAGTCCTATTTATCAGATCGATTTCAGTTTGTACATGTTAAAGATGAGTCCTCCATGCACACCAAAGTTAGTCATGGAGTTCCACAAGGATCTGTCCTTGGACCAATCCTCTTCACTTTATATATGCTTCCCTTAGGCAATATTATCAGGAAATATTCCATAAACTTTCATTGTTATGCAGATGATACTCAGTTATATCTATCGATCAAGCCAGATGAAACTCATCAGTTAGCTAAACTTCAAATGTGCCTTCAGGATGTTAAAACCTGGATGACCTGTAATTTTCTAATGTTAAACTCAGATAAAACTGAAGTTGTTGTTCGGGGCCCAGGCACCTCCATCACACATTATCTAAAGATATAGTTTCCCTTGATGGGATCGCCCTGGCCTCCAGCACCACTGTGAGGAATCTTGGAGTTATCTTTGATCAGGACATGTCGTTTAAGTCTCACATTAAGCAAATTTCAAGGACCGCCTTTTTTCACCTACGTAATATTGCGAAAATCAGGAACATCCTGTCTAAAAATGATGCAGAAAAACTAGTCCATGCATTTGTTACTTCTAGGCTGGATTACTGCAATTCTTTATTATCAGGCTGCTCGAAAAAGTCCGTTAAGACTCTTCAGCTGATCCAGAATGCTGCAGCACGTGTTCTGACAGGAACCAGGAAAAGAGATCACATTTCTCCTGTCTTAGCTTCTTTGCATTGGCTTCTAGTAAAATCTAGAGTAGAATTTAAAATCATTCTTCTTACCTTCAAAGCTCTTAATGGTCAGGCACCATCTTATCTTAAAGAACTCATAGTACCTTACTACCCCACCAGAGCACTGCGCTCCCAGAATGCAGGGTTACTTGTGGTTCCTAGAGTCTCCAAAAGTAGACTAGGAGCCAGAGCGTTCAGCTATCAAGCTCCTCTCCTGTGGAACCAGGTTCCAGTTTGGGTTCAGGAGGCAGACACCATCTCCACATTTAAGAGTAGGCTTAAGACTTTCCTCTTTGATAAAGCTTATAGGCTCAGGTTAGTCCTGAACCATCCCTTAGTTATGCCGCTATAGGCCTAGACTGCCGGGGGATTTCCTATGATGCACTGAGCTCCTCTCTCCTCTACTTTCTCTCCCTCTGTATGCAACCTCATCCCATTAATGCATGTTAACTCGACTTCTTTCATCTCTTCAGGACCTGTACACCTCCAGGACTTTGAGATGAGCGGGAAAAATTGCAGCCGATCTTCTGATTAGTGGGCAACCCGCCCTGTGCTACCTTATGGCTTAGGCTACCAAAACTACTAGTAGTAGAGAAATTCTGTCAACTTTAGGTTCTTTACTAAAAGTCAAAATCAACGTCTCTGTACAGTGTTTTTATTCATGTAAATGGAGGGGGGACTCTTCAATGATAACCACACAGCAAAGGAAGCAGTAGCCTATCTGAAGTCTGTCTTACAACTTTTTCTATCTTTAAGTTTATTTGCACATGATAGGCACTCTGTCAGCACAAGCATATGCATTTAACTTGACTTTCATTCAGCGAGCTTCTGCCCTTTAAAACAATAAGCTGTTAGTATCCTTCGATTAGCAATATTAAGCTTTAGTTATTAAAGCCTAATATTGCTGATACATTTGGAGCACTTAATGATGATCCTGACCCCCTGAAAAATTTGTTGAAATGCAATGACTTTCTTGCCCTACATCCCTAATGTGATGCTGATAAGTTAAAAACAAAATCTGTTATATTGAAGGCACTTATTTTATTGTATTAATGGTAGACTCCCAAAATGACATCACCACGTTCCAAAGAAGGGGAATAGATAAAAGACCTTGTTGTCTTTTCTCTCACTCTATTGAAACTAAAAGTCTTGTACTCTCTTGAATCCTCTCGTAATTACGCTTTCGTGAAATTCCGATCTTTTTTTCTTTTCATACTTTAAAACTTCCTTCAGACGACCTGAGAAAGCTCTATGTTTTGAATCCCCATTTTTCTTAGCGGGAGATTTGATTTTGACTTTTGTTTGGAGCAAATCCACCGGTTTGAACGCAACTCGAGATGCGGCTGGGGTGCCAACCCAGCCTGGCCAGACAACAACAACGAGCCTAACCGGCAGTGAGTCTTTGCTATGGGGAATTACGACAAAAGTAAGGCAAAACAAACCACACTCTGTGTCCTCTAGTTGGCCCTCATCTATAGTTAAGAAACCCATAGTTTATTTAAACTAAATTTGCAACATAATTTCCGACCATTCGTTCCCTCATTCTTGTAGAATATTCTCCCTTTATAATATCAAACTGAAATTCCATCGAGCCTAGTGTCCTGATCTTGGCTTATTACTTATTCTGTTCATTACCTTCTGGTTTGTTTCATGTTGACTGTTATTCCTGTAATATTCCCACATTTACTCCCACTGTTGTACTCCCTTTAGTTATTCAATAAATTTCACCTTGATCATAGTGATTTGTGTGTGTGTGTATTGTTTAAGCGTCCGGGGTCCCTGTACAGAGGATTCCCTCTCAGATTTGAGACTGACTGATTGATTTAAGATAATTGAGCGATTATTAACTAACTGATCACTAGTGAATAATTGTATAATTATTAAAAGCTACCCAGAGGTCCAGAGACTCTAGGTTAATTACAACTCAGGTGGTGCCCCGCGAGAGATTTATGGATTAATATTTTCTGAATATTAAAATTCATAATTGGGTATTAATTCTCATAAATTTACTAAAAATCATACATAGCTTTAGACCTGCTACCTAAACCTCTATCTGATTTAACACAGATTATATCCTGTCCTCCACTCAAAACCTTGTGACTTGTGAAGTCACAAACTGTGTGAGTTGACGAGTCACAAGAATGTAAGAATGCTGCTATTATCTAATTGAAAATGCAAACTTCCATTTCCATTTCATTTTCTTATGAGCTGACATATCTCAAAAGAAAATGCAAAAGCCTCAGTTTGCATTGTCAACTGTAACTTTACAAAGATGCATGGCCTATTTTACATACATTTGCAACAAACATGAAAAAGAAAATGAAAACACGTAATGTGATCTAAGGCCTCTCACACTCAGCAGGTCATATGGATAAGACAGTACAGGGTCAGCTAAGTTTCTGCAATACAATGTCTGAGTAAAGGCTCACACACACACACACACACACACACACACTGTACTTATATGGCTATAGACCACAAAAGTCATCTTAACATTCACTTCCTTTTCTGGTGTGTGGGGGGGGCCTAAGAAGGTTTAATCACTTCACATGCATCAGCTACAGTGTCACACACGGAAATCAAGAGTCAATTGTCCTTATATATATATATATATATATATATATATATATATATATATATATATATATATATATATCTCCTTTTTGTTGCCTTAGTAACATTAAATCAAAGTTGCAGTTTAGAGTTGAGGAACTTAGAAGGAGACATAACAGCAGATGCAGATACTCACTACCGGTAAGTACGTGGAGTTACTATATTTATGACACAGTGTTTGGGTTGGGAAAGAATGTGATCTTCTTTATGATTCTCGTTAGCGGTCAAATGTATTATTTTACAGTCACTTGTTTGTTCAACTCGGATCTAGTGAGTGATTCTGTGACAGGAACAATTGTAATCTCAGTGAGGCTTTGTTATTTGGGCAAAATGTCATTACCAATACCCTCTTAACATGCAAACTCTGTTAACCACATTGTATACCCACATACACATCATTTCAGTATCTAGGTGCGATGGAGGATTTTTCTAAACATTCAGGCATCAAAAGGACCTTTTCTCTGATATGCTACATGTTCTGGATTCTCTCACCAGCAGGTAAAAATTTGACAATAAGTATGAGCTAGAAGAATAGTTTGACGCTTTGGGAAATACGTTTATTAGCATTTTGGTCGAGAGTTAGATGACAAGATCAATGCCACTCACGTCTGTATAGTACATGTGAAGGTGAACTTCAACTGCATAATGATATTTTTACACTTTGGATGTTGATTAAATTAGTGATCTTAATCTGTGTGTGATTTTTTTTACCTTGAGCCAGGATAGTTTCCTCTCTTTTGCAGTCTTTGTGGTAACCCAAACTAACTGGCTGCAGTTTATTTTTAATGTTTATATTTAACAGACATGATATGAGAGTTGCATTGAGTTAAACACATACCCAAGCTACTGCTTTAAATGTAGTGTAGTGTTCATTGTGGCAACAGGGTTAGATTGAAAATGTAATCTTAAATCTATGTTTCCCTCATAGAAGGAAACACCATCTCTGAGTTGGTTGGCAGAAGAGTGACCCTGCACTGTAAGAACACATCAATTAGTACGCTCAGTCAGCTGACATGGAAAATGAACGGGAATCTACTCTTCAGTTTCAGACCAAACTTCACCTTACACACCAGTAATACATCTTCCAAACTGAGCATAAACATGTCTCTGTCAGAGAGCCAACTGTACGCACTGGTCATAGAGAGAGTCCAGAAGTCTCACACAGGAAACTACACCTGTGAGACCAACACTCTGACAGGACTTTGGGAAGAGAAGTGGGAGCTGATAATTACAGGTGTGTTCATCAGTCCTAAAATATAAGATTAGATGAAACATAAATAATCCCAGTGGCAAAGGCAAAGAAGTTCGAATGCGAAAGATCAGATTGAATGTGGTGTAATTAAAGGTAACAGAGCCAACAATTACTATGATACTGTTGATGCACAGTAGATGCATGAGCAAACAATGGATAATTAATAGAGCAAACACAGCTAAAGCTCACATATATCCGCTCATATCCTCTGGACAGACACACAGAGCCCTGGTACTGACTACATACCTGGGAACTGTATATTATAATGTTGGTGTACCAAATAGCTTCTTAAATTTAGAGCTTGGCTATTGAAGTAAAACTGCATGATGCCACACAGTGTCAGTGCTTTGGTTATTTTGAGAGACAACAGGACATGCGAGCACAACCTGGGCTTCCTTTACAAAAAAAGACCTTGAGCTCAAATGTGACGTATGATATTCTGGAGAAAACCATTACCATGACAAATACCCTGATACAGAGCAAACAACCACACAGCAAGTGGATACCCCACCTTTAACGTAACTGCACATTAGACTTATATCAAGTTTAATTGTACAATTTGTTTTCCACTAGAGGACGAGGAAGCTGAACATCGAAAAATTATACAGTTTGCTGTGGTAATTGGTGTTCCCTGCGTGAGTTGCTTAATCTTAATAATTGCTGTGATTGTTCTGCGAAGAGTCTACAAACAGCGTGCAGAGTAAGTTGCATTTGCCTCCATTCTTTAACACATGATTATATGTTCATATAAAATGTATGGCTAATGGAATTACACTGCCAGAATATAAACAAAATGTACCTCTCTTTTACAGAAATAGCAAATATTCCCCCACTGCAGATATGGTAAATATAAGCTTGTCATTTCAATTAATTTCTTGTAGAATATGTTTTGCAAAGAGCTGCAGTGACTGTAATAAAATTTAAATTTTCCAGCAGCAGGAGGAGCCAACTGAAGTTATTTATGATAACTGCCTGAACAATCTTCAACATCCTGGCTACAATCAATCTTACCATTACAAACCCAGGGCTCACTGATATGAAGGGCAACAATCTAAAAGGGGAATACCAAAAGGAAGCGAGTACTGGAAGTTGGCAACAATCCATGTTTCTGGAGTAGAAACACATTGTAAACACCTTCTGTAGCAGTGAAGTATTTTTGGTGTGTGGTGTTTGGTGCCGAGCTGGTAGTTTACAGATGCTTTTTAAAGATATTTTTGTTGTTGCTGAAAACAGATGTCTGCTACAGCTTTAAACAAGGATAGTCAGAGGGGCGTTGCAGGTTACAGATTGAAAACAATTGGGAAATAATTAATAAATAATAATAATAATAAATAAAATGCTCTGTAGAGCTGAGAGGAAGTGTAGAATCAGGTGATCGTTTTCTGTGGCTAGGGTTAGAGTTACACACTGTCAGCAGCTTGAAAAGATGCATGCATGGGTCAATGGAAAGTAGATGTCAATCATTCGTGGTTAGACAAGTTAAATGTCAAAAATATCTGAACAAATGAAATAAAACTAACCACATCCCACACAGGAAAACCACATTTTCTGTCATTTAATGAGTAATATATCTTTTATTAGACCCTCCCTGACTCCTGAACGCCCATTTCTTTCAAACAACACGACTCCAGGCTTTTAATTTAAAATATTACATTGTGGAGTGGAAGCATTAGTAGCACTACGAGGCAATGATCTTCTGGGTCCGCGTTTTTTTTGTCTTATGCACGTGGGCAACGTAATAAATTTCCTGCCATTCGTTTCCAATATTCTGTTGATAGACAGCTGGTGGCAGTAATGTGCCATTGAATAAGACTTCCAGCAAGTAAACATGGATGTAAAAAAATTTTTTAAAAATGAAGAAAAAAAAATGGCTTTGCAAATGTTTTACGAGGAAGGAAATGCATTAAGTTTGTCAGGCCTCATAAACACAATGCTGAGTAACATTGAATGTAAACTTATCTTTTGTTTCTTTATAATAAATTCCACTTGAGGCTGCTTTTAGTCTTAAGACCAAGCCAAAACCTTGACAACAATCAATTTTTTAAACTTTTAAACTAAACCTTTTAAACTGAAAGAGAGTGCCCCTTAAAAGAACAGGTTCAGATTTTTTGTATGCGTTTCGGGAGAGTTATGGGTTGTGTTATCTGAACCTGTTCTTTAGAAGTATGTGTCATGAATGATGTGACACATTCAGCAGTGTGGTGATCAAAAACATGTCTCTAATCACAAGACTTACAGCCAAGCGAAGATATTTCCTCACATAAAAGGATATTTTGTTTTCCAAGGGTCTGGCCTGTGGCAGCTGCCATTTCCTGCTATGATCTGTTCTTCAACTTTGTGGATGTATGTTTGTTGAGTCAATAAAAAAGTATGTTTTAGGGCAAGACAATTCTGAATCCCTGAAATACTGTGTGAGATCCAGGGCAAAACTCTTCTGCCACTGTTTAAAACTGGGAATGGCAATTTATTTCAGACTTTGTCTTATATTTGTGGAAATTGTTTTTACAGCAATCAATAAACCAAATGCTCTGATAAACAAAAAAATTTAATCTGGTATCTGTAATAAGCCAATTATTTAATTCGGCCGGCCTACCAGCCTGTCTACCTGCATGCACTCTGCCCGTGCACTCAATGCACATGAAAATGTGTTCTGGAGGAAGCTTGAAGGGAGGAGGTGACCATTTTTTGATTAGATACTTTCATAAAATTAGCTGTCTCTTGCTAGTTTCTCCAGTGTTTTCTACCAAAGCTTCAACTAACCAAAACTGCAGTTTAAGTATCAAGGATGGTATGTGTATTGTGGATATTTAGAAATACTTGAGGCATTTTTAATGTTTATCCAGCTTTAATTAGAATACAGAAGTCCAAAAACATTTAAAACAAAAAATATCAAATATTACAGCATAATAAAGCAAACACAAAATGAAATGTGCATGACAAAAAAGCTAAAACAGTTACTAGTTAGTTACTCTACTTATTAGTGCACACTACCAAATACATAATACAAAAGATTTCAGAAAGTAAAATAGCTGCCTTTATGAAACAAAATCAAAAAATGCAAGTTCTTGAAAATACTTTGAGGAGCAGCCTCATGTTGCAAACTCTCACTGGGTTTTTTACTACTTTGGAAGCATTTCTTCAACTATATACAAACTACAACTGGGTGATATAGTGACTATTTACTTTTTATGTGAGAAAGGAGTATTTTTTGGGGTAATTTCTCAGCTTTAATGGACAGGACAGTGGATAGTGCTAGGAAACAAGGGAGAGTGAGATGGGGGTGTGACATGCATCAAAGGACAGGCACACTGACAAAGGTCAGATTCAAACCCAAGCTGCTACAGTAAGGACTCAGCCTTGTAGATGCAGCACGCTCTCCAGGTGACCAGGTGAGCTAAACAGCTCCCCTTCTTGTGACTTTTTTATACTGTTTAAAGTATTTAGAGTTCTTTAAGTTATGAAATGTGCAATCTTAATAAATTGGCTTGACTTGCTTTGCCAAGGTGAAAAGAAGCCAGCTGTTGACCTAGCTGTTGCGACTCTACTAGTTGTGTGTTTAGCCGCATTTCCACTGCAGGGACCAGGGTCTAAATTAAGTTCTGTGGTCTTTATTTTACCTTTTGCCTTAGATAGCACAAGTTGCGCTGATGTCTGCCTGAGGTTGTACATTGGCTTTATATTTATAGCTTGGAAATAGCAGCCAATGTGCAGGTACTCCTGCGGTGTGTTTACAGTTAACAGCTGATGGATTTAAGCTAATACTGGGTCCAAGTTACAGTTTAAAGTTTTCATCAGTCAGGAGGTTTCCAAAAGGACCCGAAGTTGGTCTCTTCTCCAAAACAAACTGACCAGCTGATTACAGTAGATAATAAAGCGCGTACAACAGGTAAATCACAGAGCTCCACCCTCCTCCTTGTCACATGCACCAATACATAATAACCCAGAGGTTCTCAGTTAAATTCAGATCTGGGGAATGTGAGGGCCAGTTAATGGCATCATGAACTGTCTAAACACTCTGGCCACATGAGGCTGGGTATTGTCCTGCACCAGGAGGAACCCAGTGCCCACTGCACCAGCGTAAGGTCTGGCAATGCCTCTGAAGATATTATCCTGGTACCTAACAGCAGTCAGGGTACCACTGGTCAGCCCGTAGAGGTCTGTCATGCTGGATGATGTTGCAGGCAGCATAACGTTTACCACGGTGTCTCCAGACTCTTTCATGTCTGTAACATGTGCTCAGTGTGAACCTGTTCTCATCTGTGAAAAGAACAGGGCGCTAATGGCGGACCTGCCCATTTTGGTGTTCTCTGGCAAATGCCAATCGAGCTGCACAGTGCTGGGCTTTGAGCACATTCGGCCCTCGTGCCACCCTCATGGAGTCGGTTTCTGAGTTTGGTCAGAAACAAGCACACCAGTAGCCTGCTGGAGGTCATTTTGTAGGGCTCTGGCAGTACTCCTCCTGTTCCTCCTTGCACAAACGAGTAGATTCCGATACTGCTGCTGGGTTGATGCCCTTCTACGCCCCCTTTCCTGGTATCTCCTCCATGCTCTTGAAACTGTACTAAGAGACACAGCAAACCTTGTGACGGCATGTAAGGATGTGCCATCCTGGAGGAGCTGGATGACCTGTGCAACCGGAGGGGCTGCAGATAACGCCTCATGCTACCAGTTGTAACAAGGACACTAGCAAAATGCAAAACTAGAAAACAATCAGTCAGGAAGGATAAGGAGAGAGCGGCTGTCTTTGGACACCACCTGCAAAACCCATTTCCTTCTTGGGGGTTGTCTTGTTGTCTCTCCAGTGCACCTGTTGCTTTTATTGGCAGAGCAGGCAGCTACTTTTTCGACGCAAAACATTTCACATTTCGACCCGATGTAAGCCTGTTGACTTACTTGGGTTTTTTTCTGTACAGCAATCTAAGAATGAGCCATGATCTAAACATGCTTAAGCGTGTTTTTTCTCAGATCAGTCAGTAAAGTAACCATAAGCAACTTTTTACAATAGAGTACATACCTTTTTGTTTTTGTAACGTAGAACTTCATTTTGACCTTCATTTGTTGAACTTGAACATGTCATCAAATGCTATTTTTAGCTGACTTTAGAGTTCAGTCTGTCTTCAGCATGTTTAACCTTAATTGAACAGCTCAAAACACTGATGTTGGACAAATAAAAGCCTTCACACTTTACTGATATGGTTATTTCAAGACATGACAACTAAAACAAGAAACCACATGTGACAAGTAATTAAGCACATACACTGCTGTGGAAAGAATTTCTAAATAGAGCATTCTAGAGCAGACTTCTGACTTTTAGTTTTAGGCATTTTTGGCTTTTAGGCATTTTTGGCTTAATATGATAGGATGCCGAAGATAGCAGCAGTAGAATATTTCAAGCTTTAGGATTTCAGAAGTTCAGCAGCTCACAGTCCATCGTGACATTTAATTTGGGGGCTTCTGTTGTAGCCTCTCAACTGTGACATTATCATCATCAATGTAAAATTTTGCATGACATCAGTGCAATAATGTATAAGCTAACTTGCATCATCTTGGAGGCTCTTCAGGCAGCAGCAAAGATTTGTCTGCCAGCTCTGTGTTTATATATGTATAATAAAAAAAAAATTATATTTTTTGTCTATTTGTATGCATCCTTTTATGTGCACTGTGATGAGCCTCCGCCACCACAAGCTTCTCAGGTTTTCATTCCATACTCTCAAGTTTTCCAGTCAAATTTCTCATGAATCATTTCTTGGCCATCAGTGCGCTGACATGCACTTCGGTAATCAAGTTACGTCCAGTTTTCTGCAGTAATCTGATTAGGTCATGTTAAGTTTAAAGTCTGACTAAAAGGGAAAATGAAATTAAAAAGCATCTATGAGTCAACAAGTACAAGTATAATTCTGACATTGTAAGGGAGTCCAAATTCTCTGATAACACACACACACACACACAACACATTTTCACATCACTTATACACTTATGAGGTTAAGCAACACAGGGAAGGGAAGAAACTTGGACCAACCTGTGGCCTGCGCTACGAAGCGAGGTAACTGGCTTATCCAGGTAACTTCAGGAGTAACTTTGTGACTTCGGGTGTAACTTCCTGATTCACCCGTACTACGAAATGTGGATAGGTGTTACCCGAGGTCTGTTGCCATGGCAATTTATGCTGCATCTCTAAACTGCTTTACCCAGTGTTAATGATGAGAAGTTGGATATTAATACCACATGATGATATTCCACTGCGGTTGCAGCTGAAATTAGGAAACACATCAGCATTATGTTCATACAGCAAGCCCTGGAGCCTGGGTGATTTTAGGGAAGTCTAAATTAATTAGTAAAGGGACAGTTTCTTAGATGTAGCCCATCTGTAGGCTATAGTTGAATTATGTATTCACATATTTCGATTGACTATTTTACATGTCCAAAAAATACGGAGACAGGGTGGGGGTTAATAAACTCAGAAAAAAAATCCTAGATGAAAGTGTCAAATTTACAAGAACAAAAATCGGACAATTCCCTGAAATTAATGTCACAAAAAATTGTGTTTTCTTCTAAATACGCCCAATCCACGGCAAAGTCTCTAAGGTGCATGATAATATAGTGATTGTGGGTTAAACTTACCTATTTCCTCACTGCTAAATCTGATTGTGAAGTCTAATATAATTTCCCACTGCATGCATATCAGGCCTACATGGCAGACGTGTGTGTGATGCTGCAGCATTTACGTGTTCTAATTGTGTGACTTTAATGTCATAGAATATTCAAGTTTTTTACTTGTAGATTAATCTTGGAAATTAAATTTTGTCTCGGATTATTATCCCTCTCCGCTGGCTCCTTTTTTTCTATTACAATGTGCAGTTGTACCTTTACATCTTACTCATATTACACATAAAATACATCATAGAGATTTGAACTACAATAAGAACACTGTGAAGATAATTAGGCTACAAATTTAATCAATGCGATGCCAACAAGCCTCCCTGGCTTTGTTGGCTGCCACGATATTAGATTTAGCCGTTAACGTGTCTTTAAACTCTTAATTTCCTCACATAATCAACATGTATTCTTTTGGGGGAAATACGGAGCATGTGCCGTTGCAAAAAATCTCTGCCTACACGGCCGAACACGCCCCTTTTATGCAAACGCGCACCAACTCCAATTAAGTTAACACTGGGTTCACACCGACTCAACTAACGACATCTTATTCACTATCGTAGTACCGTTTAATTCCAGTGTAGGCGGAGTTTGTCAACCCTGAGTTTGCCTGATAACCCCGAGTTAACTCTGAGTAGGTTGAACTCCCTTCATAGTACAGGCCACTGTTCTTTGTGTGCATGTAAACATGTTACATAATCATCTGCTATTGTCTTGAATACAAATTCTTTTA